TAGCTCGTCCCATCTGTCCAAATGGATAAATATATTCATTTGTTTTGAAAAGAGATGCCTAAAGGGCATTGAAGCGAGTCGGTCGGGCGCTCTGTGTTATAATTAGAAGATCCCATTTGACATCTCAAATGAATTTTTTTTCATCCTTCCTTTTCATTTGAGATCTACGAATTCATTTTCATCGTTGTCGTCAACGTCTTCTTCTTCTTCTGAAAAAAGGAGACAAGTTTTTGCTGTTTATATCGGGGGGCTCACCGACCCCTCTTCCTTATTCACCACGTCCTTAGTAGCCTTTCTCTGCGCCTCTTTCCTCTTTTTCTCTCTCGCTTTTTCTTTCTCTACATCTCTCCTTCTATCCTATACTATCTCGTTTATTCTGTTCACACGTCTTCTGAAGAAAGCTCAACGTCTTCTTCTTCTTCTTCTTTTCGTCGTTTCTCCTCCCTCTCTTTCACACTTGTCTCCTTCTTTTCGACTTGTTGCCTTTTTTTTGAAAAGCTATATATCCCATTGGACCACCTGGATTCTGAATTTGCCTTCTGTAGACGTTAGAGCCTTCTTCTTCTAGAATTTTGATATATGAAAATCTTTAGATTAGGATTAGGCATAGATTAGTTTGCACTCTCTTCCTTTTGATCCGGAAAAACTTTGTGTATTTTGAACTTTTTATTTTTAAAATGAGCAATGTTCAAAATCTGAATTTCGATTTTTTTTGTAGTTTTTATCTGAAAATTCCTCAAAAATCCGGAGGATTTTGTGATTTTCAGAAAATAAATCTTGGATTTTTTGGATTTTCAGACTTTTCGTTTTTTTTAAATGCGAGCTTTTTTGTAAAAAATTTGAACATTTTGAGGTTTTTCCTCCTATTTTTTTCTCTTTTTGAGCACTTTTCAAAGTACAGTAATCCCGGAATTTTTCCTGGAAAATTCCGGTTTTTTGGCGAAAACCCTTACATTTTCTGTGCTTTTCGGCGTTAAAAAGTGTTTGCGTACTTTTCGTACTACAGTAATCCGAGGAAATTTTTGCTTTCTATTACTGTGCATTATTCCGTCAGGTTTGTTATTTTGTAGTTACCGTAATCCCAAAAATATAATAAGAAATCATTTTTGAGACTACGGTAGCTACAAAGCATCAAATCTGTAATTTTTTTCCTTGGATTACTGTAGCCTGAAAGGTACGCAAACAAAACTTTCAGATTTTCTCAAAATAAAGAATTGGAATAAAACGAATCTGGTATAAAAAAAAAGAAAATTTTGAAAATCTTCAAACATCCCGGATTTATTCTGCAAAAATCACAAAAAATCCATTGGGATTTTTCAGAGATTTTCAGATGAAAACTACAATAAAAAACTAGAAGTTCTGAAAAAAAATCAAGATTCAAATTTCCCATTGCTCATTCTAAAAATATCAACGAAAAAGTTCAAAATACACAAAAATTTTCCGGATAAAATTGAAGAGTACAAACTAATCTATGCCCTATTCCTAATCCGACTCAAGATTTTCAGATATCAGAATTCTAGGAGAAGAAGAATATAACGTCTTCTGAATTTGGGCACATTTAGGTTCAAAGGACAGTGAATGAAAAAATATTGGTTTACTGTATCTTGAAAAGTGCGAACAGATGAAAATTTTTCAGCTGGAAATTCAACAAAAAATCAACATTTCCAAAATAAAAATTTTTGAATTTTCAGATTTTTAGGCATCTAATATTTTTAAGGGCCCTATCTATTTTTTCTGAAATTCTTTCCCAGAATATTCTGGAATTCCTCTTTTCTCTCTCTCTCTCTCTCTCTCTCTCTCTCTCTCTCTCTCTCTCATTTTGTGTCTAACCCCACCAAAGAGCATTCTGGTTTAGTCATGTCATCTGAAATTCGATCCCATTTCTTTTTGCCTCTCTCTGCTAAAAACCAGCTTTGTCAAATACAAGATTCCAATGAGAAAAGCCCGCTGGAAATTTCCATTTTTACTTTTGGTTTTTTGGGAAAATTCCAGATGACGTCGTTTTGATTTTTTTGAAGACTTTGAAGACTCTGAAAATCTGAAAAATCTGGAATGTTCTCTTTTTATCTTGTTTCCTGTGCTTTAAAAAATCATTTTTCAGAAAATATTTTTTTTCTAGAAAATTATGAAAAAGTGACCATTTTTCTGAAAGTTTCATACACCTTTTTTTCTAACTGTCTATGTCTCTCTTGTTTCTTTTCTCTCTCTTTTTCATTGAATAAATCTTGAGAAGAAGACAATTTTTAAAAAGAGAAAAGGGGAGATTTTTTCCCATGAGAGAGGGTGCGTTGAGTGCTCAATAAGTGCATTATATTTTCATTGATGGATGATGGGGCATTTTTGTGAATTGAAATTTTTATGAGCTGAAGAAGTTTTCTGGAAGTTTATTAAATTCCAATTTTTAGAATTTTCTAGGATATAGTTTTTATTTTATTTAATGAGTTTTGGAATACTCAAAGATTCTGTGCCTAGTATTCTAGATTTTCGATTTATCAATTTTTTTTTTAGTTTTCAACAACATTTTTAAACAAACATTCAAATTTTGGAATTATTTTTCGAGTTCCTATTCTGGAATTTTGATTCTTGGAAAATCTGAAATTTGAATAGTTTGGGCTTCTCGGATTTTGAAACTGTGAAAATTGAATTTCTTGAGTTCAAATATTTTGAAATCCTAAAATTCTGAAACTTGGAAAAAAATCATTTTTACAAAAATTAAGAATTCTCATAATAGAGAAACATTTGGAATATTCTGGAAATTTAGCATTCAAAGATTTAGAATTCTAGAAAAATTCAAAATTATTTTTTTTTTTTGAAAAATTTTGAATTTCAAGAATTTTAAAGGTGGGGGGACAGGAGATTTTTCGTAGTTTTTTTGTAGCTAGAGTATGCATTCTACCGTCACGGTGTACAACACTTAATGTCACTCTGCGTAGAGCTGTCGTCCTCGCCTTTATGTATGCAATCGGGCGTGCGCTTTCTCTTTGCCTGTGTGGCTCAGTCGGTAGCGGCGCCGCACCCTCAATCCTCGTCCCACACGTTCAACTCCTCGAGAGGCATATTTAAACGAAATTTCGAGAACATTATTTTTTTCATGTCCCCCCACCTTTAAGAACCTCTGAAACTTTCCGATTCGAAGAGAATTTTGAAAATTTGAGAATTTTAACATCTATAAAATTTATACTCTTGTAATTTCTGAATTTTTGAATTTTGAAAAGCACAAATTTCCCATTTTTCCAAACATGTTTTTCTTGTCTAAAATGATTCATAGATTTACTTGCATTCTTTTTTTTTCACTATCAACTTTTCTAAAAGTTTCCAATAATAATAGAAACTTTTTTCCACCTTTTCTTATCCATATCTCTCCACTTTCTTTTTCTTTCTTTTTTCTGCTCCAAAGTCTTCTACTTTCTTTCTTTTTTCATTCTATCGGGGCAGCGGTGAATTCAATTTTTTGTTCAATTTTTAGAGCGAGTGTGTAGCGCCCCGAGAAAAAATGTCTCCGTTTTTTTTCCACACTTTTTTCTTCAGGTTTTAGTTTTTTTTAGAAAAAAAAGTGTCGTTTACTCACCTATTTTTTTGGAAAATTATTTTTTGAAATTTTGAATTTTTTCCATTTTTTAAATAATTTTTTTCGTATTCAAACATAAAACAACAACGATTTTTATTGGTCAGAATACATATAAAAATGATCGGTACATATATTTTTTCTTCTGGACACTACAAATTTTTTAGCTGTTCAAATATAAATTTTTGAGATAAGAATATATTGGTTTTTCGCAAAATGACATCGTTCTCTTGAAAACCAAAAAAATATGAGGACTCTTACAAAATTTTGTAGTGTTGGTTTTTGAGGTTTGCAGAGATTTTGAAAATTGTGGAATTTCCAATTTTTTTTTTTAATTTTGGGGATTTGGAGTCTGGGATTTTTGGAAATTTGAAAATCTAAATTTTTGTGCTTATTTGCAATTTTTCCGAAAAAAAGTAGAATTCTAAAGAATTTTTTTTAAATTTCGAAACTTTGAAAAATTCAAAAAGTTCATTTTTTTTCGATTTTTGAGGTTTCCAACTGTTCTGAAATTCCATAGAATCATATTTTTTGAGAATCTGAAAATGTGACATTTGAAAAGAAAACTGACAAATCTTTATAAATCTGAAAACCTGAAAATTTTTGAATTTCTAATACTTTCGAAAGTTTGTAAAGTTCGGAAAAATCCAAACTTTTCGAAAAATTCTGAAACCTTAAAAGCCAAAAAAAGTGACAGTTTTAATTTTTTTTTTTCGATTTTTAAATTTCCAAAAACCATATTTTTGAATAGCTGAAATCTGGAAAATCGGTTTCTAAACTTTTTTGAATTCCCCAAATTTCCTAAATTCTGAAAAATAAAAACTTTAGAAATCCAATTTTCGGAAACCTCTTCAATCTTTCTGTCTGTCTGTATGTTTGTCCAGGGGTCCATTAGTAGAATAAAATAGATCAAATCCATTAGTCTCAAATTTCTTCTCGCTAAAAAAAAGAAGAAACTGTCATCTGAATTTGCATCCATCTTCATCATCTCAGGTGTGCTCAATGAGCCGTTTTTCTTCTAAATATATCCATCCACTCGTCTTCTTTTTTCTCCTTCTCCAGACCAATTTTTCAACTTTCTGTCTTCTTCTTCTTCTTCTTTTTTCAACGTCTTCTTCTTCTTTTCCTTCTTCTCCAATTTTTTTCTTACGACGACGATTACCTTCGCCTTCAAAGCCATGTTGCCCTCTTTCAAAATCGCCTCTCCCCATTGTTTCGGTTCCAAAATGTCCCCATATTTTTGCCACATTTTGCTTTTTTTGTTTGTTCAGGCGGTGTTTCCGAGCAGCTTTGTGCTCTTTTTCGAAGATAGAAAATTTATACTTCTCGAGAATTTTCTGGTATTTCCACAGAAAAAAACATTAGGAAAAATGAGCAAGATTGAGATTAGCAATCCTTTTTTTTCTAATTTTTTTTAAAATTTTCCATTTTTCAGTAGAGGAGACTCGTCGTCGATCAACAACAAAACTTTTACACCGGATGATCACTACAGTAACCCATCAGACAAACGACGAGAAGTTCCTTCAATCCGCTCCACGTCTTCAAATTCTTCTTCTTTCGGAGGCCACGTGGCATTTGTAGATGAGCCATCGGAAGAAAATCAGCGTCAGCAACAACAGTATCAGCAACATCAATTCCAACTGCCAACACTTCTTGTCACTTCAACACCATCCACTGTTTTTGATCAGAACGGTTTGTGGTTTTTTGAAGAAAATCTTGAAGAAAATCTACCGTAATCCTGTGATGATGATAATGATAAAAAAAGCAATACAGTAATCGGGTATATTCCAGTATAGTCCCCCGAAACATTCCAATATAACACCCCTGGCATAAATGTTGGAATACATCCCCACCCACCATCTTTCATAAGGTGGGTGGGGCGTTCAAAAAATGTTTTTCCTGATTTTTCGCCTGAAGATCAAACGTACGCAGCCAAATTACGCATAGAAAAATATTTGTTATTTATCGATTTTGCACCGGGTTTTAGTTAGTTTTCTTTAGATTTCCGCGTTTTTTCTACTTTTTTCTCAATTATTCCTGATTTCTGGTTTATATTACCGTACGCATATTGGTTTGGAGTGGGGGGTTATAATGAAAGATTTCCACGGATTCCAATATAACCCCCCAAATCAACGGTGGAGGGATATTCTGAACTCTAAAATGTCCTCCCACCTGATCATCCCATTTTGAGACCCCGCCTTTTTAACCCCCCACTTTTCAACGGGGTGAGGGGGTTGTTCCAGTACGAGGGGGGTCGTAACTGTGGGGGGGGGGGGGTATAATGGAATTTTCCCCAGTAATCCTGTGAAAGTTAGGAAGTTCTCTTTTTTCTAGTAGATTCAAAATTTTGAAGTTTTGGATAAATGAAGGGGGACATCGGGACATTTGGGATACACAGAGAAAGCGGGACAAAACATAGGCTGAAGTTTTAGTTTTCTGAAATTTCTAGGCTTTTTTTGAATTCGGATTTTTTTTCTATTGAAAATATTTTTTCTGTCAGTATGTCTTTAAATCCAAATTTCCACATTTACCGTAAAACTGCAATTTGAGTTCAATTATTTCGATTCCTATAAGAGATATGAAAAATCTGCCAACTGATAAATTGCTTATCAGAATATCGCTAACATTCTATCTGTTGACTAAGTTTCGATATCTTTCATGGGAATCGAGATAACTGTGCTCAAAGTGATGTTTGAGAAAATACAGTAATTTGAATTTGGAAACACTGGACATAAGATTTACTGACACTCATACAGAGAAGGTTCTGGAATCTCGTGGTTTTCCGGACACACATACATCCTAATCATTCTTTTTGCAGACGACGACGTGTTCACATCACCATATCATCCACCAAATCGTCAATACTCGTCATCCAGTGAAATGAGTGGTCTCTCATTTCAACTTCAATCTGGAATTCATAAAAAGTCGATTGCGGTCGAAGGAAATGAGATTGCATTGAGAGATTTACGAAATGAGGCGTTTCAATTTGTCAAAGAGATTGTCAGTTCAATTTTTTAGGACATCTGGACAAACAGAGGAACATATTAGCGTACCTCCTCTAATAGAAGTCCCACCCAGACCATAAACTTTGATTTCAATTATCTCTGTTCCTATGAAAGGTATCAAAAATGTGTCAATTGATAAAATACCAGCGATATTATGATAAATATTTTATCAGTTGACATATAATTGATATCTCTCACAGGAATCGAGATAATTGAGCTCAAATTCTGAGTAGGCTTCTAAAGAACTACGGTTTTTTTTTCAGTTTTTTTTTTAAATTGTAAAATTCTAAATCTAAAAATATACCTGTGAAATTACAGTACCCGGAAAAGAAGTGCGGTTCACTGGAGGACTACATTCTGTTGTACAAACATGATCTCCGATCAATCAATATTCTTCAATTGATCACAACGTCGTCAGATGTAACTGATGGAACGCTGGTGGAAATCGTTATTGGATGTGAGTTTCTGATTTAAAAAATTGGAAAATTTAATCGCCAAGACTCCAGGTGCTAAATTTCAAGAATTCCAGGGATTTCAGACTTTTTTCCAGCTTCAGAAAACTTTTTTTTTTGATTTGATCATAAATTTTTTCTATTTTTTTTCTTGTTTCTAATCTGGTGGCCTAGTTTTTTCCAATTCATTTTTCTAGGTCACACATTCTTATTGCCTAGAAATGAGGCCTAACTTTTACAAGTCGAGTTTTCTAGGTCACCAGAGCTCATGGTCTAGAAATGACATGAAATTGACATTTCTAAGCCACCAAGTTTTATGGCCTAGAAACAGCCTTTTATTCACGTGGTGAGTTTTCTAGGTTATTTTAAGATAGTGACCTAACTTTCGGAATTTGAGTTTTCTAGGCCATCATGGTAAATAGCCTAGAAATGACCTGAAATTCACCTGGTTTTCCTTCTACGCCATTTTAACATGGTGACCTAACTTTTGTAAATTAAGTTTTCTAGACCACCATGACATTTTATCAAAAAATTACCTGATATTCGCCTGGTACGTTTTCTAGATCATTATAACATAGTGGCCTAACTTTCTCAACCTGAGTTTTTCTAGGCCACCATGTTAAAATGGCATGGAAAACAAGTGATTCTGGCCTGGACCAAAGAAACTGTCCTAGAATGAAAAATCAGAATTTTGGCGTTTTGAAGGCAAAAGTTCCTTTCTCCAAAAACATTTTTGGGCGAAATCCGCTTTGAAAAAGGCGGCTAAAATCCCCCTGGACAGTTTTTAATCCAAATTTTCAATGTTTCCATTTTTTTAATCGTTCGAAGCACATCCCTCTTTTCCTTTTTTTTTCTCTGTTCCCCTCCATTTTCAACTTCCGGAGCCAATGATAGAGATGAGGAGACGCAGACAGTTCAACAACAAAAAAAGAGAATACTTTGCTGCTCCTTTTTTTTGTTGTGTTGTGTATGCGTGTGTCCTATCCTATCCTCTCTATTCAACCCCATTTTTCTTTTTTTTTCAACGCATTCTAATGCTTCATTTAACGACGTTCTTTTCTTTTTGGTTTCAGCATCCAGAAGACGTCGTTGATTCAGAATCTTCAGAATCTTCAGAATCTTGAGAGCAAGAAGAAGAAGAAGAAGATAAAATTAGTTTCATTTAGAGAAGAAGGCGGCACTTGGGAGAGTGCCTGAGCACTTCCTTTTAGAAGAAGTTTGACGTCTTCTTCTTTTCCAACGCCTTCTTCTGAAAAAAAATCCACCTGTCTTCTTGATCTTACAAACCAGACATCCCCCTGAAGCCAGATTTTTTTCTTCTTTTTCCGAAAATTTCGAATTTCGGTCTTCCACTCAATTTGACTCATTTGACATTCTTATTTCGAGCTCTCTCTAATTTTCGTGTCAAGCCTACTAGATGTGTTCCTTATTTTCTATACCACAATTTGCGCTCTCCTGAGGAGCCAGAAGGTGTACATGACGTCTTCTGCTGACGAAACACTTGCAAAGTGGAGAAGAAGAAGAAGAAGACACTATGTTTTTGTATGGAGTTAAAGTGAGGAGAGACGCAGAGAGCTCATCACATCAGATTACGACCTCTCTCGCTTTTCCAGAGCCTCTCTTTCATCCTGATATATCTTTTACTTTTGAATTGATACATTTTATAAGTTGCCTACAGTTTTTACTAGGTTTTGGTTATATAACAAGTAGTGATTTTCAAAAGTTTTAATTTTGGGAAAAATATTCAGAAAGTGAATATTTCTGTTATATTTGTTGAAAAAACAAGTTGCTCCCAAAAACTTAACGGTCCATCTTTTGGGAGATTCAAAAGATTCACGTGGCTCACAAAAATTTTTGAAATTTCAGTACTTTGATGTGAAAATTGCAACTTTTGAAATTCACTACTTGTTATATGTCACTTCTAAAAATGCCAAAGCTTCAACCCCATTTCTCACCCTGACAGAAGAAGACTTTTGTACAAAGATCAAAAAGAAAACATGTTTAAGACCATGTAGCTTAGCTCAAACTTGGAATTTCTGTTTGAATCAAAATTTCAAAATGTAGAAATTGATGAGATCTACAAAATGATATTAAATTCGACTATACTCGAATGTCAAGCTTCCAACTTTTTAGCCTTTCTTGGCTCGGCTCCTTTACAACATCTAGTTCAGTCCTTGGCATTTGAATTTTGTTGAGTTGGGTATCATCTTGTAGATCTTCTGAAGTGTTACATCTTGGTTTTTTATCCACACAGAAATTCCCAGTTTGAACAAAGTTAAGGCCCGCCGTATTATCTATATCTTATGAACTTTTTGAACCTTGCAACAAAGTCTTCCTTCGTCAGTTTCGGGGTATCAAAATGAGCATTTTCACTTTTTTTTGTGACGCTTGGCCTCCTTTTTTGGCTCTTTATTGTTTTGAAGGCAACATCAATGAACCATACTGGCGAAACTTTCGAAAATCACAAAAAAAAACGGTTATTTTTGATCATTTTGAAATGTTGTGTCCATATGGCCTTGTGGATTTTTTCACCATTTTTTACGGATCCCCACACCAAAGTTCGATTCCTCCGGGCGTTGAAACTTTTGTAATTTTGTCTGAACCTCGAAAAACGCATTTTTATCTGCTTTGGAGAATTGGGACGTTCTTCAAATTGGATATAATAAAACCATACTTGCGAAAGTCCGAGTTTGAAGCAAAAAATCCATCTAAAAATGTTCCAAACATCCAAATCGGGTAAAACTATGTACTTCGAGTTTCACACAAAAGTACAAAAGTTTTGACACCCAGGCGAAATTCGGTGTGTAGATCCGTAAAAATTTGGTGAAAAATCCACTAGGCCATCAGGACACTAAATTTCAAAATGCTCATTTTTGATCGGAATTTTTCGGAATTTTGGATTTTCAGTATTTCCAGTAGATGTATTCAATATTTGAAAAAGATCAAATCAATCTTTGACAATCAGTGATCATTTTCAATTGAGACTCCAAAACCACGGATTTGCTAAAACTATGGGGAAAATGATACAGTACTAAACTCAGAAGGCTCATCTAGAGCTCTTAAGCTACTCAGTCGTCCACCACAAGGGGTTTCTCATATTTGTTGTTGCCTCTGAAGGATCAAAGAATTCTGGAAGGGATTATCCTCATCTACTCCCAACGACGTCAAACTTTTCTTTTTTCTTCACAAATCTCCACGTGTATTCTTCTTCTTCCTTTTGATTCCTCATCTTCAAAATAAGAAAAAAAAACAAAATGTTTTTTTCGAAAGTGCACCACCACTCGAAGGGTTTCAATCATTCCTAAACAAAAGTTCTCCTCTTGATCTCTTCCGTCATCATCTTCGGATCCTCATCTAGAAAAGAGAAGAGACAACAACGTCTTCTTCTATTTTCATAAATCTTGTTTATCAAATAGTTTTCTGCGTCGTCGTCCTCCCCTCAGGAAAGAGTGAGCCCTCCTCCATCATGCTTTTGCTCATCAGCAATGTTGCTATGAGCAATATGTGTGTTTCGGAGTCCGCAAAGATTCGGAAAGCCGAACAAATTTTTTCGGAACACAGATGTTGGCTTGGAGATGTGTTGTAAACACAGCCCTTCCTGACCGAGCACTTTTGAAACATTAAACAACTTTTTTTATTTTGGATTTATTTTCGAAAATAACATCAAAATCTTCTAGAAGTTTCTTGAAACTTTTTCTCGAATTACGGCCAATTTTCAATTTTCGAAGGGTTACTGTACCCCTTGTAACTGAAGGACGCCCTAATTGTAAACTTTGAACTAATTTATCTTGGTTACTGTGAGAGATATCAAAACGTGATCTAATAATAAAATGTGTATCACAACATCATGAACATTTTATAAGTTTATCACTTTTTGATAACTCTTACAGTAACCAAGATAAAGTAGCTCAAAGTTAGTGGTCTGGGTTCTTTTGATTTCTTGAAGTGTTGATTCTCTTACAAAATCGAAATCTACAATTTCTAGAAAGCGTGTAAAATTGAAAAAAACTAAGAGCTGCAAACGCGCTCCATTGCAATGAAATACCGAAAAATTAACTTTGACCCAATTTCTCTCGGTTACTGTAGAATATCGAAAAGTTATAAACTGACTTAATGCTTCTGATATTATGATAACAATTGTGTCAGTTTGCGACTTTTCGATATCTCTTTCAGTAACCGAGATAAAATGGGTCGAAGAGATTTCGCGGTATTTTATCAATAGAGCGCGTTTGCAGCTCTTCATCTCTCAATTTTACGTGCTCTCTCTCTCTCTCTCTCTCTCTCTCTCTCTCTCTCTCTCTCCGAGAGCTCCCTAGAAGGTTCTCTGACATATCCCCCATAACCTTTGAACCTTATTCTACTCTATTTTTACTCCTCCTTTTCCCTTCCTTTTTTTCATCATCATCTCTCCATCACGGACCATCCTAATAATAATAATAATATGAAGAATATTCTTCTTCTCCATATTCCTTCTCATTACCAGCCACCCCTTGCGATACCACACAAATAAACATACGTGTGTCTGGATCTAGACAAAAAAAGAAAGTAAAGTATCTCCTCCTACTCCTCTTCTTTTTTATATATGACAGCTCCTGGGGGCTTTTCCCTCCTCCTTCGTCGGCACAAAAAAATGGAGAGAAAAAAAAATGAATGAGAGGAATAATTTATATCTCATGCAACAACTCCCTGCCAGCAGCTTATTCCTTTTTTTCTCACTTTAGGTTTTTTTTCGTTCCATTTTAGTGGTCATTTTTCTGGTTCCGGCAGCTGAAAATTCATCTAAAGGTGCATCGTCGGTCCAGCAAATTCCATGCACCTTTAAAGTATTTTGCTTTTTTTTTTGAAAATCCTTATAGCCTATTTTTCTTTATTGAGCTACTGTATTTGCTTTGATAGAAGCCCACCCAAACCTTGAACCTTGAGCTCGATTATCTCGGTTACTGTAGAAGATATTAAAAGTTTGTCAACCAATAAAATATTGCTGATATTATGATGAATATTTTATCAGTTGACAGAGTTTTGATATCTCTCATAGGAACCGAGATAATTGAGCTCAAAGTGCAGGTATGGGGTGTGTTTCTAAAAGAGCAAGAAATCCCATTTTTGCAGACCTCATTTTCTTACCAATTTATTAACAGATTTAGCTTCTTGAAATAGCTCCAAATCATAAAGATTAGTCCCTAAAAGAAATCCTATAACACTAAATTCATTCAAATTGGCTCTAAATTCATCAGTCGGTCAGTGTGCTCTCTATGAGCAAAATGGGGCGAGGGAGGGGGATAATCCCTTTCTAGATTTGTCTGCGCCTCTCTTATCAAGAGATAGCAGTCTGATATCGAAAGATTATCTTCATTTTGATAAAAACGACGACGACGATGAAAAAGCCAAGATTTTGAATTTTTGTTTAGTTTAGTAGTTGGTTTTAGATTTATGGATTTTTTTCCTCCAGCAGTACCTTCCATAATCTCATTTAGGATTAATATTTTTGGACCAAGTGAATTGGATATGATAAAAGAACTCAAGAACTACAAAATGATATTGTTTGAATTATTTTACCTTGTCTAGGAACAAAGTTATGAGCCAAAAAGCTGTGACCGCGTTGCGCATACGGTTTTTGGCCTGTAACTTTGTTCATAGACGAGGTACAGTAATTTAAATAGTTTCATTTTGTAGTAATCATCGAGTTAAAAAAATGTCTAATTTAGTTGGTTTAAAATATTGATCCTTAATAAGACTATTATAGGATCCGCTAGAGCCCGCAGTTTCGAACCAAAAATTGCTTTGAAAAATGTTCCAAATGTCAAAAGCTGATAAAATTTTAATTGTCGAGATCCACACAAAAATACAAAATTTTTGACATCCAGAGGAATCGAACTTCGATGTTGAGATCCATAAAATCGATGAAAAAATCCACTATGCCATCTGAAACTAAATTTCGAAATAGTCAAAAATGACCGTTTTGTGGTGATTTTTTTTTCGGAATTTTTGATCTTTAGTCTTTTCGGAATTTGTTATGTCCTTCTTCTCCACTTTCGACTTATTTTCTACCGTATCCTTACTTCGTTTGTTGTCCCTACAGTAATCTATTTTGAAGCTACTGTACAGTGCTCCTTCTCCCACTAATTAGTGCTTCTAGTGCAAAAGTTGTTTTTCTGGCCTAGAAAACCTGAAATCTGAAAAGCTAGATTATCTGAAATCCCCGACAATGAATTTTTCATTCCGCCTTTTCTACCGTACCCTCTTTCGTTTTTTTCGATACAGTAACCCATTTGATTTCTCATGCAGAACCTCCCCTATATGGATCTATAATAACCATAATATTCCAAAAAAAGATGACGGATCAACACCAAACGCCTTCTTCGACGTCTTCTAGTTCTTCAATTTCGACGTCATCACTAAAAATGATGAAGAAACAACAGCGAGCGAAAAGTTGTGCGACGCCGCAATCGGGACGAAAATCGCCGAGATTGGAAGTGAAAGCGATGACGATTTCATCATCTCCAACTGCTCAGAGATTCATTTTTCAACAACAATCATCGTTTCAAATTGTTGAGGATTTTAAGGATTTGAAGCCATTTGAAGAGAAAGAGAAACAGAGAAAAAAGGAGAAGGCGCCGGATGTTGGGAGGAGAACGTTGATTGTTATTGGCGGTATAGAATAGAACACCTGGAGTCTTGGCTTCGCGGGAATTTGAAATTCTCGAGATTTTGAAAGTCTAAAATGTTTTGGAAATTAAAAAATTCAAATTCCTGGATTCTAGTTTCGCAGAATTTTGAAGTTTCAAATTCTCGATCTTTTAGAAATTTGGAATTTTAAAAGTTTCCTAAAGACAAAAAGTTCAAATTTCAGAAGTCATAATATTGAAATTTGAAAATCTTGAACTTTCAAAATTTGAAAAATATGATATTCTGGATTCTTAGATCTCATAAACTCAAATCCTGAAATTCCAAGGTTTCGAAACTTTAAATTTCAATTATAAAATAGAAATTTAGAAATTTAGAAAAAAAGAATATCTGAAAATCTGAAATCCCTGGAGTCTTGGCTAGCTTAAAACTCCGATTTCCCGAAAATCAAAAAAAATTTAAAATTCTCAATGGAGCATATTTTCAGCCTGTCCACAAAACGAACGAATCGTCGTCCATCCACACACTCTGTTCGTGCATTCCTACAAAGTGCCGACTTTCTGTGATTTCTGTGGAGAATTGTTGTTTGGATTAGTGAAACAAGGACTCAAATGTTTCGGTTGTGGACTCAATTATCATAAACGATGCGCATCGAAAATCCCAAATAATTGTAATGGATCAAAGCAACGAAGACCGTCAGCCATCCCATTGTCACCGTCGAATTCCAATATTTTGAATTTAAATGAGAGAAGGGTTCGTTTGAAAATTTTTGATTTTTTTCAGAAAATGAACATCCTGAAATCACAGTTTTTCAATATTAAAGGTGGGGGGACAGGAGATTTTTCGTAGTTTTTTTGTAGCTAGAGTATGCATTCTACCGTCACGGTGTACAACGCTAAATGTCACTCTGCGTACAGCTGTCGCCCTCGCCTTTATGTATGCAATCGGGCGTGCGCTTTCTCTTTGCCCGCGTGGCTCAGTCGGTTGCGGCGCCGCACCATCAATCATCGCCCTCACAAGTTCAACTCTTCGAGGGGCATCTTTGAACGGAATTTCGAGAACTTTTTTTTTTCATGTCCCCCCACCTTTAAAAATTGACTGAAAATTCGAAACTGCAAAGAAAAAAAATTTTTTTTTTGAAAAATTAAGTTTTCTGGATCTAAAAACGACTATGTATTCTGAGTCATTTTCAGCAAAACGAAATTTAAAAATTTGTAAATTTTTGCAAATGGCCTAGAGAATGGAAGCTGGGGTGTCGGATTCGAAAAAAACTTTTTTTGTTGAAATATCCATTTTTTCTCTAATTTTCAGACAAATATTTTCAGTTTCCTATGACGTCACAAGAATCTAAAAATTACTAATCGCTCAAAAATGTCAAAAAATCAGAAAAGAGTACAAGTTGAAAGAAAAAGAACAAAAAATTGTTGTTCACACAATTTTTTGAGAAATTTGTTATTTTTGGTGACGAAAAACAAATTATTGAGTTTTGATATTCAACAATTTTCATATTTGCAAGTATTTTCCCAAAAATTTTTATTTCTTGACCTAACAAAAAATATTTGCTGCAAACTATTTACTACTATCTAGAGATGCCAAAAAAGAAGAATAGTTTTGAACGGGTAATAATGCAAGTTTGCTCTATTGATAACTAAAAAAAAATGCTGGTGAAAAATGCATAGAATTCGAAAATTTTTTAAAGAAGTCTTACGAAAAATTCCTGAAAAAACAAAGTTGAAAACCGGAGTTTTGGAAGAATTCGCAACAGAGTGCTTTTACTAATCAAAAGCTCATGATATCATTAGAGCGCACTTTTTGAACTGAAGTTTTCAAATTTTCAAATATCTTGCGCATTAACTGAAGAGAAGTCCATAATAATTGACGGAGTGCAAGTTCTACAAAAAATAGAGCGCACTATCTGATTTTTTCGTTTCAAATTTTCAAATTTTTCAAAATGCGAAAGCTTTCAGCGGAAAATGTCCGAAATTTCCACTATCCAAAAACCCCCAAAATCAAAGCTTTATCATTGGAGCGCACTTTCTGCCCTAATAATTTCAAAATTGTATTTTTCAGCAATCTCGTCGTGATTCATGCCTTGAAGCACTGGATGCAGCTCGTCCATCATCAACACTTGGCGGTGCAGCGACTCCGAATATATTCATAACTTCAGATGATTGTGGAGACCCCGTTGGTGGAAATGTGAGAGAATTTTCATGAAAAATTTTGTTGACTTTCCAAATAAATTTTCCCATGAATTATAACCTCCAGTTCATACATAATCCATTAATTGCTATCATTTAGTGTGGGAGTCAATTTCTTCAAAGTTTCAGTTCCTCCAAATGCCTCGAAAAGACCGATCGTGTTCGTGGAGTGGACGGCCACTTTGGATGGAAATTGCGGAAGCGACAAGGGTTAAGGTAGGACATATTTATATAGATATATCGTAGCCTATGATTTGCAAACTCTAGGCCACGGAGGAGATGATAATTTGGGGGTATTGTATAATGGGGTCAATAATGATTTTTTTTTTAATTTTTTGCATTTTTTTCCGAACTTTTTTGAGTTTCTAACATACTTGAAACTTTTCGAAATTCCGATTTTCGCGAAACTTCCAAAAAGGTCTTGGTCTAAAAAATAAGTCACGATCTAATTTTAGGGTTTTCTAGGTCATGGTCTAATTTCTTTAGTTTGCCACGTCGTGACCTAATTTATTTCTAGATTTTTAAGTCATGACGTAATTTTCTAAACTTTCCAGGTCATGAATTAAGTCATGACCTTAACTTAATTGTTTGCCTTTCTAGGTGATGGCATAGTTTTTCGGATTTTTAGGTCATGACCTAACTTCTTTGGTTTCTAGGCCATGACCTAATTTTTTGAATTTCTAGGTCGTGACCTAAAATTTGGGATTTTTAGGTAATTATCTAAAAATGAGGAATTTTTCTTTTTTTTTATATACCGAGAGTCGACTTCTCTACATAGATTTTAAGTTTTTTCTTTAGCTGAATTTTCTAAATTTTGCTTATCTGAAATTCCAGAAAACTTGATTTCTGACCTTTTTTCTTTTTCCTTCTTCCTTTTTTTCATTTTTTAAAAATTCGTCATAATTTCCGAATTTCCATATACCTTTATGTCCACTCGAGGAAGACAAAAAAAGAGAAACGACATGAAGCATAGGGAAAAAAGTTATTCGAAAAAATGTTAGTATCCTCTCTGCCCGGCTGACGAATTTATTAGAAAATTCAGCTTTTCAACTTTTTTGACTTCCTGGTTTTCGAATTTTTTGAACATTTTCGTTTTCCAAAAAATGCTCTTCAAAACTACAGTAACCTAGAAAATTGGAAAATTACAGTAATCCCTGGTTTAAAAATTCCCCCTTTTCGTTCAGTTTTCTTTTAAAACTACAGCAACCTAGGGAATTGAATAACTACAGTAACCTCCCATTCGAAATATCCGCAATTTCCAAAAGATTCAGGTACCACACACATTCCAAGTGCACAGCTACAAACTTCCGACGGTCTGTCAACACTGTAAAAAACTGCTCAAAGGACTTTTACGACAAGGAATGCAGTGTCGAGGTGAGAATGAAACAGAAAAGTTACAGAACGGCGCGGTTGCGAAATGTGCAAGTTTCGAAACGTCACGGTTTTGAAATGGCTCTTTTTTTAAGTTCTGAAACGTCCCAGGTCTTAAACGCCGATTCCTTCTCAACCTGGACATTTCGTAACCACTCCGGTTCCCAAATGTCACAGTTCTAAAACGTCGCATTTCCAGACTGCAAGTACAACTGTCACAAAAAATGCTCGGAACACGTGGCAAAAGATTGCTCAGGCAACACGAAAGCCTCTCAATTCTTCCTGGGAACCGCTGATGATGGTAAGTCCCGGATTACTGTAGATTTCTCTTCTCTCTTGTTCTCTGCGTCTCTCTTCTCACGTTCTCTCTATTTCTCTACTCTCTCTCTCTCACAGGTACAAGTTTGTCTGGAAGTATGGATAATCTTCGAATGTGCAGTGTGCCATTCGGATCGGATCAATCGACATCGGGTACCGTAATCCTTATATCACTTATCACTTAATTAGCTTTAATTAGCACACACTACTCACCCCAATTAAAACCACTAGAATTTCAGTTTCTCTAATTTTCCTCGTTATCTATTATCTGTTACCCGCCCTTTCTAGATGCTTTTTGTAAAATCAGGCACGGCTTATTAATTGGACATTAATTAGTTGCAATTAACAGCAATTAAGTATATTTTTGGTATTTTGTTTGTTTCATTTATTGTGGCTTCTCTTCAGTTTCTCTCAAATCGACACGCATTAAATTAAGAAATACTGTAGCTCTAATTAGGGCGTCAATTGGGTCCTAATTAAGCCCTAGTTGGAGCTACAGTACACTTATCTAATTATCACTGTCACTATTTATATTTTGTGCAGCAGGATGTGTTCTCTCTATTATTCCCTTTTTGGTAGCTATATCCTTGTATCACCCCCACCCCACATACAAATTTATGTGATTTTTTGAAAGTGGTAATTAGAATTCTTTTGCTGAATTTTTGAATTACCGCTTCGAAATAATCACAAAAATATTTGAATATTTTTGAGATCAAAACTTCGAATTTTCCAGGTGTTTCCGAAGATCGTGACGATGATTTGTCGCTTCGAAGTGGATCTGGAGGACATAAAAAAGCTCAAAATACGCCAAGTGCTCCGCTACAGGTAGGCTCCGACCCTTTTCGCATGACGGCCTAACTTTCGCAAGTTGATTTTTCTAGGCCACCATGTTAAACGCCCAAAAAATGAACTGCTATACACCTAATGTGATTTCTATGCCATTTTAATATGGCGGCCTAACTTTTTCAAATTGAATTTTCGAGGCCATCAAAGTTTATAGCCTAGAAATGACTTGATATTCACCTGGCGTGTTTTCTAAGTCATTTTAATATAACGGCCTAACTTTTGCAAGTTGAACTTCCTAGACCACCATGTTATAAATTCCCTAGAAACTTACCAGGGAAACACCAGACCATCTCTAGGCTATAAACTTTGGTGACCTAAAAAATTCGAATTGAGAAAGTTAGGCCACCATAGTAAAAATGGCTTTGAACAGGTTTTAGACATACTTGTAAAATTCTATATATCAAAAAAACTCGAAAAAAATTTTTTGACCGAAAAAAAATCACCCTTATGTGTTTTTTGAAATTTTCAAAACTTGTGGAATGACAGACCCGCAGGGCCTGGCCACCGAAATTCGGGAAAAAGCCCGGCCCGGCCCGGCCCGTTACAAGTATGGTTTTAGAGAAACAAACACAGATTTTGACTACTACAGTAATTCTGAAATTTAAAATCGAAAATTCGAATTTTGCAGGGATCCGAAGGAAGTGGATCACCAGGAGGAGCCGTCGTCTCATTTGCCCAGGGCCTGTCTAATGCCCCAGATGATGACGTCATCAGTTCAGAATCTGCGAATATACCGTTGATGAGAGTCGTCATGTCGAAGAAACAAACGAAAAGAAAAAATAATAAGCTACTGAAAGAAGGATGGATTGTTCATTATACCGATCAACAGAATATGGTATAGTTTTCTGAGATTTTTTGACAAATTTTGGAATACTTTTTGATTTTTTTAGGAATTTCAAAATCAATTTTTTTTCAGTTGTTCCTTTTCTCAAATTTCCGAAATTTCAATGTTTTGAAATATTTCGGAAAATTAGAATTCTAGAATCCCAAAATTTCAATATTTGAAAGTTCCAAGATTTTCAAAATCTTGAAATCCCAAAAGTTTAGAATTTCGTTGAAGAAAACATCAGAAACTCGGAAACTCAAAATATCGTGAAATTTTTGAAATCAAAAATTTCAAAAATTTCAGAAATCTTTTAAACAATTTCAAATTTCGAAATTTCTGGATTTCATAAAACACTAAATCTTAGGATGCCACATAAAACTCTAGACATTCAAAAATTTAAAATCTCAAGTTTCGAAAAATCTAGATTTCAGAATTTTGAAATCTGAAAGCCTTTAAAAAATTTCCTTCGATAAAAGCTGAAAAAATAAGTTTTTCTGGAAAAAAAATTGATGGCCTAACTTTCTCCTGGCCTAACTTTCCCATTTTCTAGCGCAAAAAGCACTATTGGCGTTTGGATACGAAAGGAATCACAATGTATCAAGACGAGAACACGACGAGATACTACAAAGAAATTCCGTTGAATGAGATTCTGGGAGTGATGACGTCATCACCAGAAAAATCATCTGAATACCTTTTCGAGATTCGAACCGGTGCTTGTGTCTACTTTGTTTGTGAGTTTTTTTGAATTTTAAAAATTGTTACTTGAAAAAATTTATTCAAAATATGTGAAAACCCTCTGAAAATGGTAAGTTTTGGACGACATCTGGACACGAGGAAATCCGGAATACTGGAATTGTTTTTTTTTTCTATCAAAATGACAGGTTCAAAACTGTCATTTTTCATTTTTACCCTTCCCGATTGTATGCTCATGCTCTCTGAGCTCTCACAGGGAATTTCTGGTTTCTTCGTTTTTTATTTGAACAAACTAACCCTTTGATAATCTATCTTTCGTTTTATCAGTTTGTGTGGTTTTGACACTTTTCAACTTTTCTCGGGGCAATTTCTGCTGGAATTATTTTATTGTGTTGATTTTAAGGATTTTAGTAGGCTATTTTGAGATTTTCAGCCAATTTTTATATTTGAAAATTTGGATTTTCTAAAAAATGTAAAAATTGGATCTTGCATTTTTTTTACAACTTTGAGGTTTTTTTGAAAAACAAATCAGGATATCTTCAGCTCACTTTTAGATTTTACTGAAATTCTAAAAATCTGATTTTCTAAATTTTTTGAAATTTAAATTATTTTAGAGATTTCTGAAACTTTTGAAATCTGGAATTCTGAGGTTCTGTATGTTTAGATAACTAAATTCCAAGAATTTCAGAACTCTAGTTTTCAAAAAAAAATCACATGATTCTCAAACTTTCCAGCTTTCAATTTTCCACTGAAAATTCCAATTTTTGACTATAAAATCATGATGGAAACGCTGGAAATTGACACTCTTTTCTCTGATGATTTTTGGCGAATTTTTGCAATAAAAATTAGTCTTCAATCTCCTCATTTTTCCCATATGACCACCTTATTTTCATTTGCTAGGTTCCTAATTTTCCTGCACTTTCCAATCAACAGTACCAACTTAAAAGTTCAAGTTCTATCCAACTTTCAAAACAGTTCTGTTTCGTTGATCCTCCATTTTTCTCTTCGTCTCTCTATCTCTCGGTTTTAAAATAAATTTTGAACCGGAGATGGTGCCGAAAAAATGATTAAACCTGAGTGATTTATTTGATAGCCTTAGCCATTTTCGAGATTTTCAATGGTCACTTTCTTTGTCCCTTTTTGTCCTTTTTTTTTCTTTTTCTTCCTATGCAAAACAGAAAAAAAAGGATGCGAGCATAAAATGGAGAACGGGGCAGATTTTTATAGGTTAGATTTCCTTTTTAGTTTTCACCGAATTTTAACGAATTTTTTAGTATTTTTTGGACCTTTTTCTGGACGTTTTCAAGGTGTAAAATCACTGAAAACGATAAAAATTATACGAACAATTAAAAAAAATCTTTGGTTACAGTAGTTTTAGTTTTATGACCCACCCTTGCCGATTTTCAAAGACCGTTTTGTAGTCTTTTAGGGTTACAGTAACCTCCTTTAGCAAGAGCTCAAAATGTTCGAAAAACAAACAAAAAATCCTGAAATGTGGCTATTTTTCAGAGCCAAAATATCATCAGAAAACTGATTTCGAAAAGTTTGGGTTACGGTAGTTTTTGTACTCCTTCAGAATTTTCGCATTTTTGCAATGTCTTCTTTTTTCATAGTTTTCTAATGTTCTAGGTTACGGTAGTTTTTTGTTCTGAAACCACTGCATAATTGGAACTTTCTGACCTTTGTAACCAACCAAAAAAATTCAGAATTTTTTGTGTCGTCAAAAAGTGAAAAACCACTTGAGACACAAGGCTTATTTTCTGTTTCCTAGCCCTTTGTATTCAGACAGTTTCGTCGTGGTCAAAGTATACGTAACCTATATACTAGGTCATCCTTCACAGATGACAGTTTAAAAACCAATTTGTTCGTTTTTTTTCCTGAAATTCTAAACCCCCTAGATTTTCGGAATCAAAACGCCCATCCAAACCGTCAACTGTGAGCTTGATTATCTCGAGAGATATCAAAAACCCGTCAACTGATGAAATATTGGTGATATTATGATACACATTTTATCAGTTGACAAATTTTTGATATCTCTCACGAGAACCGAGGTGATTGAGCTCAAACTTGACAGTTTTTGAGTGGGGTTCGATTAGAGGAAATACGGTGACTTGACCTCTAGGTTTGAGTTTCTAGTGCTTTGCTGAAATTTTACCAATTTTCTTAAATTCCAATTTATAGATTGCTAGAATCAAGTGACGAATATACTCCCTGTCTTCTTATCTCAAAAAAAATGCCAACATCCTTTTTTTTGTGAATTTTTTTATCACATTTTTTTCGTCACCAATATGCATCATCATCCTGTTTCCTCTGTTTATTTATTTATACATTTTTTTACGTATTCATGTATTTTTCTGATTTCTCGAATCTTCTTCTTCCTCCTCTTCTTTTTGAAGGTCAAACCTCTGTATGTCCCCTCACTAGGCTTCTTCTTCAATGATTTTACTACCAATTTATGCGTCATCCCCGCCGCCACCGATTTTGAATATATTTTTAGAGAAGAGGAGTAGGAGGAGGTCTTCATTTTAAAAAAGGAATAATCCGTCGTCGGGGCGGGCGGATGGTTTTGATTCTGGTTTCTTTAAGTTTTTTGACTTGTTTAGTGAGGAAAAGAGAGAGAGAGAGAGAGAGAGAGAGAGAGAGAGAGAGAGAAGAGAGTTAAAGAAAAGTGCAAGAGGTATGGTTTTGGAATTTTTGGGTTTTAGGTTTTTGGATTTTTGATATTGGAAGTATAGAATTCTAGATTTCCCAACACTTCAATTCTTAACTTCTCAAATTCTGAAGTTCTTTAAAACTTGAAATTCGCAAATATTGAAATCTAGAAATTTGAAATCTGGAATTTTTAGAATTTCGGAATCTGAAAATTCTGTAATCTGGAATTCTAGATGTTTCGATTCCTTAGATCCTATTATAGACTTTTAGAATTCTGAAAATTCTGAAATATTGAAATCTGGAAATTTGGAATTCATGTTTCCCCTCTTAGATTCTGAGTTTCCGGATCCAGAGTTCCTTAGTTTTGGATCCAGAGTTTCTTAGTTTTGAAAATCTGGACTTCTAGTTTTCAGATGCTTAGATTCCAAAAATCCTGAAATCTGGAGAACTTTTCGAACTTTTGTAAGTTGGAAATCTGGATTTTTAATTTTTGGATTCATGGATTCTAAATTTCAGGGATTCTTAAATTCTTGAAAACTTGAATTTTGAAAATTTTGAAATTTGAAATATTAGATTTTTGGATTACGAGATCCTCATGATTTTAGGGATTTTTCCAAAATTTTAGAACTTCAAAGTTTTATGAATTTTCACCTTTTTTGATTTCTGAGTGTCAAGTTTTTCATCAATGATTGGTAGACTTGTTGTTCTTCACCGATTTTTCAAAACAAAAAAAGAGATTTTTTCATGTCCCTGCAACCTTTAAAGGTGGGGGGACAGGAGATTTTTCGTAATTTTTTTGTAGCTAGAGTATGCATTCTACCGTGACGGTGTACAACGCTTAATGTCACTCTGCGTACAGCTGTCGTCCTCGCCTTTATGTATGCAATCGGGCGTGCGCTTTCTCTTTGCCCGCGTGGCTCAGTCGGTAGCGGCGCCGCACCCTCAATCATCGTCTCCACAAGTTCAACTCCTCGAGGGGCATCTTTGAACGGAATTTCGAGAACATTATTTTTTTCATGTCCCCCCACCTTTTTTCTCACCTTCCTCCCAGTAGTTCCTAACAAGATGCCTTGTTACCTTGTTCATCTAGATAACATCTCCATCCTCTTCTTCTCCTTCTACTGTTCTTTTTGTGCTTCTTCTTCCTTCTCCTCTCGAAATGCCAAAAGAGATGCCTAATGAGTGTGACCTCTTGTCGTTTTTCGACTGTCCTTAAGAACGAACGAACGAACTGTTCTTTTTTCTTTTTCATTGTTCTTTTTTCAGATTCTTAAGCTTCTTCTTCCTCTTCTTCCATTTTTCATTCCACAGCAATTTCATTCGAAAAAAAAGCAGCTGTTCTCGAAAAGTTTGAAAGGGGTCATTTCCGGGATTCTTGTGTAAAAATCATGGTCAGTTGTTTGGAAAGAAATTGCGACTTTGGATTTTTCGAAAATTGGCTCCTTCCACTTTTTGGCTCATTTTCCATATGTTTCGACTTATCACATACATGTGGTTTCAATTTTTTGTTCTTCGATTGCTCAGCCTTGACCAAAATTTTGCAAACACTCGTTTTTTTTCATGACTCATATTCTTCTTTTTTGCAAAGTCGAACGCTCTACGATTTTTTTTTCAAATTCCAACATGCGTCATCACCATATAAGTAGCTTATTGTTAGGGGGTCAGACAGAGACCGTGTAGCTGAAAAATGGGGAATAAAATGGGCAATTTTTGTGTCAGTAAGTGCACCTGAATTTGACGAATTTTGGATTTTCTGTTGTCTCCCAATCTCTCCGGAAACGCTATAAACACATGTGGCCGAGAAAATTGGAATTTTTGAGGAAACTAGGCCACTAGAAGAGTTCCAGAAACCAGTGAACTAAAATCGAAATTTTTAGAAAATCACAATTTTTGGTTTTGTCTCAAAATTGGCTTGCTGGCCTAGAATCCTTTTTTGTGGCCTGGAATCTCATTTTCCCAAAAACAGTGCCTCATTACTTGTAGAGATACTCTGTTCACTGGCTAATTACCTCCTTATACAGTCAATTTCATCCCAATTTCCTCCCACCCACTTGATTCTTGTTCTCTCTCTCTCTCTCTCTCTCTCTCTCTCTTTCTCTTTCTCTCTCACTTCCTTACTTCTTCTTTTACCTTCTTCCTACCTACCCCACCCAGGTATTTTTCGAAGAATTAGGAGAATTAGAATTAGAAGAAAAAGCCCATAGAACTTTACATCTTCATGAAATTGGGGAATTCCCCGCAATCTATTAATTCTCGAAGGAGGCAGTTACTTTATTAGAGAAAATCAGAAGACGTCGTCTTCGAGAAAAACGAACGACGTCTTCTTCTTGAAGACACATGTTCACAGTTGATCATCTCATAAGCGACACCACATTAGCATCGTTCG